CCTGGGGAGCACGGCTGCGCGTGGCCTCATCGCCCCGCCCAACTCCCCACCCTCCACCCCAACCCCAACTATGGCGGCTGGTGTAGACTCAGCGGGCGCCTGAGGCGGGCATTAAGAGTCGCGCAGGCCTCGGAATCTTCCCTTTCTACTCAAGTCGCAGTGTCCTTAAATCACTGGTACAAAGCTGGGGCCACCAGGCCAGGTCCTGGAGAAGCGAGCTCTGGGTCCCCGCCCACTGTGGAAACCAAGCCACGGGGAGCCTGGAGAGATTCTAGAGTCGCCTGAGAACTTTCCGGAGGAAAATGTTGGTCCCTGTCGCTGGGAGAGGTGACTGCCGAGTTCTACGCTCCCATCATTCTGTAATGACAGCGGGTGACCTCGCAGCGTAAGACCTTTCCATCTTGCTATTTACTTTGGTTCTTCAGGTGTCTGGAGAATTTGAAGAAGCGGGAGGACCATGGATTTGAACACATTCGCAGATGCACCGCCTCACCTTAGAACTGGGACAGAGAGGCAGACTCCTGCCAAACGATGACTGGTCCTGATAAAATTCACTAGTAACGCCAACCTCAGACAGGTAGGGACTTTTCCTATAAACAGGGACAGAAATGATGACTTTGGTTCCTATTAAAAGTATTTTGAAGATCTAAATGAATGTGGTTTGTACTAGGTGTAACTTCCCACTTATTAAGATCAAAATTCAGATTAAAATTGAGTAGTATTTGAAAGCCTGTTCTGTCAATGCTAAGTATTGAGGATGAAAAGATGAGTTGGACAACGTCTTTTTTTTCCACAAGAGGTTTACAATTTACTCAGGAAAGATAGGCAAGAACAAGAGCAAACTTTTATCATATTTAAAATTCTTATCATATTTATCATAATTCAATAAAGGGCCTCATTTCACAAGAAAATGACACCATAGAAGGATATGCCAAGCCCTCCAAACTGTTGTGAAAAATGCCAACCTGGTTTTGAGCATAATTCAGTAAACAAAGAGCCTTTGTAAATATGGCTTGTGATAAGGAAACAATTGACTAGACACAAAGGAAAAAATAAATTATTACCTAACATTACATACAAAATTAAATTCCAAATGATCTCTCACCTTCTTTGGCACACACTCTCACCATTCTAATGGCACCTACCATGAGTCCCTCACCAGAACTGAGTAGATGCCAGCACCATATTCATGAAGCACCAGAAATGTGCACCAAATAAACCTATTTTTGTTATAAATTTCCTAACCTCAGGTATTTTATTATAGCAACATAAAACAGACTAATTACTCTACAGAAACCCATGCATGTATAAACAAAGAAGAATATATTTTATATTCTTAACATTTTTGTAATAATGAAATGTTAAATGCAACCTATATCAGTTAATAGACTATCAAGGAGCATAGAAATGAATTGGAGATACTTATTAACAGATAAATCTCTATTTAAAAGTGGTAAGCGATAAATTATACTTGGGTCTAGAGGATAATTTCAACTGACTGAATCAGAGTGTCTCCACATATCTTCTCTAGAAAACTATTAAGATATAGGAAGAGTGCAGATAAAACTAAACATGATCCATGCTTTCAGCAATACTAGGAGACATAGCATACCACAAACATCAAATTACCAGAAAATTGATACGTGCCAAATTAAAAAAAAAAACCTTCACTTCTGCAATATTGTGTGTGGTGAGTGAGGCATGCAAGGATGCAGAAAAGCTTTGAAAACAAATAAAAAAGGATAATATAGACAAAGCAAAATTCTGCCCTGAAAGAGTGTGTCAAACAATAAGGGCCAGAACACCGAACAAACATGAGTGTTAGTAGGTTACAACATGGTTACAGGGAAATGACTTCAAAATTAGACCAGAGGTGAAAGCTTCAGTTAAGAATTGCTTCTGAGGGTGAATTGGCTACATTGACAAAAGTGTGTGTCCCCAAAACATATGGCAATGAAAACAAAGAAGAAAATGGAGAGAATTAATTCATGCTAGCCATCCTACCTAACCCTCATATGCAACCAGTATCATTACCAAAAATATAATCTATTGAAGGAATTATACTTGATTATATCAAAGGAAATATTGTTTACTTAGGAGCTATAAAAGTGAAATATACCTTTTAAAAATCCAACACAATGGAATCCTCTTTTTAGAGGAAAAAGAAAAGGTGAATTCTAACACTTTACATAACACACACACACCCACACACACATACACACAAATCCCTAAAGCCAACATCCAGACAAATACTCAACCTAAACCTAGATGTGGGTGTATTTGTGTGAAATTTAGAATTGGAAATTCAAACCCTGAAATTATAAATGGACAAAACCCAGGAAGGAACTCTAACCAAATCAAGAAAAAAATTTGAAGAAAATATCTCAGAAATGAAGACTACATTGCCACTGTCTGAGACAGAATATGCAAATTGAAATTTAAGGAAGATCAGTTAAGGAAAGCAATCAGTAAAGTAAAAATGATCTGAAAATATAAAAAAAAATCAGGTCAGGGAAAACATTCTAGAAATTTATCATAGGTAAAGAAAGTCCAGTGTACATGTCAGAAGAAGATAGGAGGAAGGGGAGGAAAAAGAAGAGGGTAGTGGGAGAAAAAGCAATGGAATAGTATTAGTGTATAAAAATAAAATCTATGAAACCTATCAGAGAAAATTTGAAAAGTTAACCAATAATAATCAACTCTGAGACTTACCCTTGTGAAATTATAGGATATTAGGGAAAAGAAAAATATCATTAAAGGCAACAGGCAAAATAATAAATTTACTTATGAAGGTAAAGCTGTTTGGTTTGAATGACCTCACTCTTCATAAGACCAATACAAAAATCAAGGCAAAAATGGAGCATCACTTTAAAAAACTTAATAAATTATTAGTTCTATGTGTAGCCAAGCTCTACTTCAAGTGTCAGGGCTATTGAAATACAGTTTTGAACATTCTATAACCAAGGAAATACTGCGTTTACTTTTTTTTTTAGTGGAAAACCAAATAGAAGATGAATTTCATCTAAGCAATACATCGATAGAGAAGACTTTTATAAATAGCAAAAGCTTATAAAGTGTTACTATGTAAAATAGCTTCTGCTGTTTCTAGCAGCAGTTTGTTTTGTTTAGCTCATAATTAACAGGCACTGAAGGCACTAATTGTTGAATGAGGCATTTGGTCTTACCCTGAGATAACAGGCACAGAAAGACCTTGAGCTCCAAAGAGACTGGAGCCACATGATCATAAAAGTATCAAGATGAAAAGGCCCATGGCTAACATTTGCTCCCCTGACCCTGAAAACCCCTTCCTATGGGCCAAGATAGGCAACTAAGTGAATCTTAAAGGTAAACTCACCTAACTACAAGGAATTATTACATCTGGGTTGAAAGTTAACTATCCTGTGACCATGATTTGAACTATGAGAATGAAATGTAACCACCCAAATGAAGTCAAAGCTGTAAAGCCCTATAAAAGGAGTTGTAATCCAGTGTGTGGTTGATCCAGGCACTGCTTATGTGCATTTGACCCTCGTTAATGAGTAAATTTGTTATTTTACTTCCATTCCGCTGCCTCTCTGTGTGTCACTTACTGATTCTTTCCATAACAACATGACTGGGAAAATTTACAATGTAACTAATAATGAGTATTTAATAGTAGAGCTAAGGCTAAAATAAGCATGGGGAAGATGGGGACATAGGTCAAAGAAAGTAAAGCTGTTTGCAGTGGCACACAAACCTGTAATCCTAGCTACTTGGGAGGCTCAGACAGGAGGATCACTTGAACTCAAAAGTTTAAGACCAGTCTGGGTGACACAGCGGGATGGAATCTCAAAAAAAAAAAAAAAAAAAAAAAGGAAAGGAAGGAAGAAATTAAGAAAGGAAGGAAAGCAAACAGCACAAGCTTTACCAAAAAACAAAAACAAAACAAACAAAAAACTGCAAGTGAAGAATTGAGAGGAAGGGGAGGAAAAAGAAGAAAGTAAAATGAGGCCATGACTGTATAAGTAATAGGTAGAAGTCAAAATGTGCCATTTAAGACTGACAGTCAAATGAAAAATATTAAGAAGGTTAAAGCACAAGATAAAAGTTTAAAATATCTATACCCCTACATGTAGTAAGTGATTGACTGATACATATATAGACGGAAATATTGGAACTCAGTGTGTCTGTCAGCTATCCTGTGACTAACACTACCAGGATTCACAGTTTAATGGAGGAAAGATTTAGTTTAGCTCATGGTTGGGAGAATTCAGTTCATAGTCAGTTGTCTCCAAGGCAGGAACATCATGGCAGAAGGTTGTGGTAGAGCAAAGCTGCTTAGTTCATGGAGGCTGAGGAGCAGAGGAGGGGAACAGCACCAGAGAGAAACAGGCAAAGGTGCATATGTACTATCCAAAGTCATATATTCATGATTCATCCAGACACACCCAGGATCACGCTTTACCAAACTGGCTGGTGTTTCTTAATCCAAACTCATGTATCAAGATTAACTTTCACACTCAGAGATACTAGGGGGAAAAGAGAACT